TAGTTTATCTTATACTTACCTGATGTCTTCTGCCGATGTTTTGTAAACTGGCTTGAGCTTTTTGTTGAGCTGTTTCTTTCTTGTTTAAAAGACTTTTGTCTTGTGTAGTGGCTGGCTTCTGGTTTTTCCAAGAAAATTGCTAAAAAAAGAAATTTTTTAGGAAATTTAGGATCAGCGTAAGGTACATGGAGTTACTAGTTTAGTCTTGTTTTATATGTATATATGCAATATTATTATATAAAATGACTATACTATAATATACTACATATTTTTTATCAAATAAAACTTAATAAAGATATTATTTTTTTTTGTAATACTTATTTTACATCTTGTTGCTACTTCTTATTAGGGAACTAATCTATTAAAGCTAAACTAATATTAAAATAAATTTCAAATATAAAAAAATTATTTATAATATTTGTAAACTATGGATTCATAAAATTGTTGTCACAATTTTTATTAGTAATATACCTATATATTTATATAAAGCAATTGCTTTAACTCAACTATTTGCATTACTTTTTATATATAGATAGACAACATATTATATTAACAAGTACTTATATCTATTTATATTAGTAATTTATATATATATATAATTATAGTAATACTTTTAATACCAATGTCAAGAAAGTTTCTAAAAAAAGAAGAAATAACTGTGAAATACCTAAAGATCTTTTTAACCTTTAAAGCAAAAGGTTATAGAGATTTTGTTGCAATAAAAAAACATATGTTCTTCTTTTCTGACTGTTAAGACCCTCTTAAAACTTCTATTTTCATAGTTTTTTGGAAAATTTTACGTACCTTAGTTTGATTTTAAATTTTAGGTAGCATAAATTCTTATCAAAGAGGATTGATTAATATAAAACATTTTAGTTTTTGAAATACAAACAAGCATCTATTGGTTATATTCACATATCTTGATAATATCATTAATGATTAGAAAGAATGTTTCAAAAATGTTTATTCTCTAGAAACTTAATTTCTTTAAGAAAGATATCTATAATATCAAAAGACCAAGAAATATATAATGTGGATTGCAAATCTTTGTTTCTTTCCTAAGCTTCTCAGGTAGTGACAAAGTTTTAATGGACAAAAGCTAAGGTTTAAATACTTTTTTTGTGATATTTCAATTCGGTACTCTATAAATTCTTATCAAAAAAAAGAAAGTTTTAAAAGAAGTTTTTTCAACTGTATATGTTGATTTCTAAGAAATAGTTATCAATCAAAAGATAGAGTGAATTTGAACAAAAAAATTTTATCACTTTTTTAGTTCTTCAAGTGATAAGAAGACTTTTTAAGATAAAAATTGAGATTTTTTAATTTCTATTGAACTATTTCAATCTGATATACACTTAAATAACGACTTATTCAATATCACAGGTGATAATAAAGAAGATTCCTTTCAAGGTTCAAAAGAAGCAAAGTAAAATATTCCAATCAAGCAAAACCCTTTTAAAAAGAAGTTGTGAAATAGAGCAAGAACCTTTTAAAGGGCTTTGGGTTGTTTTTTGTCTTCCCTTTTCTTAGTACCAACTTTAACAATTTATTATTTTTTAGAATAATCAACAGTGACAAACTGTTGACAATGATTTTTATTGACTTAAAGGTACTATGCCAAGCTATTAAGAGAGCATAATATTGTTTTCTAAATCTATCTTAAAGTACCTAGTTGAGACTTAGTTTTGTTTAATTTGAATTGACTTAATGAACATCATCTATTTTTTTAAGTAGTATAGTTCTTCAACTAATAATATACAAAGATGAGTTAGTCATTATGTGAAAAGGTTTGTGAATTATTTTGATGTTTTTTTAAGTATCTTAATAAAGACAAGCTGTTTTAATATGATTGTAAATTAAAAAAAAAAAGAAGTTATAATTAATATATAAAAATCAAATTATATTAATAAAATTTAATTATGAAAAAAAATTGTAAAATAGATTTATATTTCAATAAAGATTGGATTTTGTTTCTCTTTAGAAAAAAAAATTATATGATAATTATAAAAAATTAAATTATTAAAAAAAATAAGAAAATTTAGTTAATTCAAATCAAATAGAATTAAGTTTAAATTAGATACTCTTACTGTAATTTTAATTTTAAGTCAAAAAATTATTGTTACTATTATCATAAAACTGACAAATTACTAAAATAATTGTACTAGAAAAGAAAAAGTGAAAAAAATTGATTTTAAGTTCTCTCAAAAGATCTTTTGCTATGTTATTAATCTTCTTTTGAAAAAGATGTGCTATTGAAATATCCTTTTTGCTTCTATTTAAAGAACTTACTATTTTTAAATCTAAGAGACTTTTTTATAACTGTCTAAAGAACTTACTGTATTCTTCTATTAATACATGTATAAAGATTTACTAATCATCCATTTTTTATTTTTTTTTTTTGCAATAACCCATCAAGCTAGGCTGATAATGTATCATAGTTCGAAGATCCTGAAATTACGAAACCTGATTTATGTAATTTTCTGAAAATGGAATAAAGATGCTGTTCAGTTGCGAATAACAAAATAGTCTTTAATAGTTTTCGAGTTAATATTCGACAAAATGATTGTTCCCGTTGCCACGATGTGAATTGCTGATACTCGACTAACCCCAATTATTAAATTTACAACCCAAGATAATAATAATAATAATAATAATAATAATAATAGTTACAGATTTATAGGTGAATTAAATAGGTTTAACTAAGTCTTAGTTAAATGATAGAATTAATTGCAAAAGTTCTTGATTATTGAACCCAAGTCTTGACGGATTATAAACATCCCCAGCCTTTAATTTTCATATGTTCCGGAAAAGCATAGTGCAGCCAATCTTCTAACATCCTCTGTTATAATTGAAGTTGATTAATAATTTCATAGAACTATAAAAGAACAAAAAATTTCAGCGCACTAATAACCTTCTATCTCCATAATGGAGGCTTCCTTTTTAGGTACCACGACGTACAGAACGTAATCGTCAGATCTTTTCCCAACAACCCAAAAATTAGATGATGACCGGGTGCATATTTCGGTCATTTGCGGATACCTGTTAAGACGAAGAATGTCAAATCAATGAAATTTTAATTTTATAAATGCAAGGGCGAAACTCACTTTTCAAGATCTTCGTACAAGTCACATAGTGAATGTGCCATTTCGCTGGTGATCGTCAGGCCTTTTGATAATGTGCTGGGAGTATTGATCGGATACAGTGAGGATTTAACAGCCAAAGAAGTTTTGTTGAACAATAAATAGCGATATTCCTTGTCAATATCCGTCCTTTAGGTATTAGTATATTCAGATCGAGAGAATTAGGAAATATAATAACGTTAATAGCGACAGACATCATAAGGGAAATGGATGTACCCAAGTTTCTTAGAACGTTCATTTTCCTCGTGTAAGGTTTTTATTAGATCTTCGGATCGGGAGGATAGACAAGTATGAATCGATCTATAAAACTCTATGTCATTCATTTTCTTCGAGTTCTCCGATGAGTTTGGTATTAATAAAGCAATCGTAAAGGAACTTTGCTAATGAGAATTTATTAAAAATGAGCATTTTCATCAAAGCATAGATACTTAAATTCAAAACGACAATCATTACTTTATATGCCAGGAGAAAATATTCAATAACATCGTCTTCATTATGGCCATCTTCTTCCTTACTTCTTTTTGCAATGCTTGCTGATGATTGAGACAAATAAATTATAAGTGGTCTAATGTCTTCAACATTTTGCAAATTTGCTGGACCTATCAAGAAACTAGGTAGCGATGAGAAGGACGGTGTGGACGGTGAAAAAAATGTGGAATGCAAGGTTCCAGGAGGTGTTAGAAAATTTCCAAAAGCATGTGTGTTTTTAGGCGGTGATGAACTTGGTGAGGCTTTTGGCGTGGCCTTTGGAGAGGTAGATGAGAAGTACGAAAAGAGGTTACTTCCTGAGAAGTTACGCGTAAACCCTTTAAATAAATACTAGAAACGCACGCGATAAATATTTTTTAATTATATTTCAAAAAAAAAAAAAATTTTTTAAAAACGGAGTGAATCTGTAGGATAAAATCAGCATACCTTTTCATTTTCCTTCGATTTTTTTCGTTTTTCGAACTCCTTTTCAAATGCATCTCTCTCCGATATTAGAGGAACCAAGTATCGCCATATTTCCTTAAGTTCATTCTCCATCATAGTCCCACGATCATTATACACCAACTTATTTTGCCATAATATAATCGTATCCGAGATAGATTCATATTCCGACTTGATTTGTGCCACGAAAGATGTAATTTGTGTATGAGTCATACTGGAGAGTGGCAGATAAGAGATGCCTTATTGCCGAATCAAATAAATATTCATCACTTTATCGAATAAAGAGAAAACCGAATTCAGATTTTCAACGCCATGCTGTACAAACCATCAATCGTCTTTGATATATCCGTCTTGTCAAAATCCCAGTCAAGGACCCAATTCGCGAAATATTCTTCTAATTTATTTTATCTGCCGCATAGACGGCCGCGTTGGCCTCTATGTCTATTGCAGAATCTAGACGTTGAAGTATCCTATGAA